TCTTTTTTTTGGAAACCTTAATAAATATCATTAAAAAAAAAAAATTAAGGGAACGAGTTCCATGGCCTAGGGATTGCCACAGAGAATGTGCTCTCCTAGGCCACTCTCCCTGAGCTTCTGAGGACAACACCCAATAAGGCCTTTTGTGCCAATCTTAAAACTTGAGAGTTTCTATAGGGAAGGAGGAAGTCCATACCCTCCAACGTCACAGGAGACAACCAGGACACAGGTCTTTCGGAATGTGCTCCCATGCGAGTCACGTGACCTGTGCGAGATTGTGACCCTAATGTCTTTCAGGCCGCAGCATCCAAAACACCCCAATTTAATCAGGGCAGTTGAGGAGTATAGAAGCCTTGCAGGTATTTGGTACTTTGGTAGCTTTGGGTTGCAAAAAACCAGTGTCAGCACATTGAATTGGGTCCAGGAACAAGCTGACCCCCCTGCAGATGTTAGTCATCACCTAATGTTTAGGAGTGGGAAGTAACAGTTTTACAAAAAAAATTCTACTACACCTGTACTGTCTTTTTTTAAAAAATATAATTTTTATTAACAAACCAATCAAATCACATTAATTCCAAATTACAAAGCCAATTTTTTTAATTTTTTGTTGGGGGTACCCATACTTCGAGCTCAGAAAGGGATCCAAACATCTCTCTTGCTGCTGCTTTAATATTCACAGTTCTGTCCAAATAGTATTCACAGTTCTGTCCAATCTTCTCTTTATTGTTTTCCTCATCTTCTTCTTGTTATCATATATTCCTTTCTTTGTGACCTCTGATAGTCTCCGCAAGCGGGTTAAAAACAAACATTGTTATATCCTGTGTGGATTTTCCATTCCTCCAAGAGCCCTATTCAAACAGACAGACGCCATTTCAGCACTTCCGTACAAAACATTCTTAAAGTCTGCCCTTCAATCCTCGCAGGCCTGTCACTCTCTCCTCGAACTTCTTAGGGGGTTCTGCCAGGTCAAACTTACAGTCCGATATAATAACAAAGCCATGGTCTCTTCCCCCTCGATCATAAATCCTGCCACCAGGCCTGCTTCCTAACGAGTCTCTTTTTATAACTGCATCATTCCAAAGGCCTTTCATTCCTTTCCAAATATTCCACAAGCCATGTCTTTGATTAGTAATTCATTTCCACACAGTTCTGAATCCTCCCGCTTATAATCAGTAATTGCAACGATTCTTGCTGGGGGGGGGGATTGTTAGGTAATCACATAAGATAAAAAAAGAAAAGTCCCCCCCCTTCTGTCCCATTCCAGCATACTGACCCTTTGATGTGTCTTCTTCTTGATTTATTTTCCTGTTTAATCCAACCCGTCGCTCCACTTCACAGAGGTCACTTCAATTAGCAGTCTTAACTCCCGTTCTTCACTTGAAATATGTGCATTTGCTTCTCTCTAATTGTTTATTTTGAGCTGCTGCAACCAGGCCGCGCGATCAGAGACAGCCGGGAGAGCCGTCCCACACGAGTGCTGTGCACCTTGTGCCCTCACCCCCTTCTTTCGAACTCGGGGGTGATTTATGGCAACCGCAGGCGAGGCAGTGTTCCCCATTCCCTTGGGGTAACAAGGGAGGCTGCATACTCCCATATCAGCCTCTTAATTACCTCGTGTGAGCCGGAGAGATGGTATTGTTGGCCATCTTCCAATGCTCCCCTAGCGGCCCCCCCACACCTGTACTGTCTTATGGTAAGAGCTCAAACTTGTTGCTTTTCAGATGTTGATCTTTCTGGAAACAATCCAATTACTCTTTTTTAACACAGAGCCAACTGTTTGTTTGAAACTTTTTCCAGCATACATTCGATAAAAGAAACTTTTTTGTGTGAAACAACTCATATGAGCCACAGTTATTTCTACTAAAGTCAATGGCAAATTGCTTCAAGATTGTTATGTATATGGGTTGCACTCACAGAACATGTATATTGGCATTCCAGAGCCACATCAGAATCCTTCATTCCAGAGCATTCTTTGGGCTACAATGTGCACATGGAACTTCATCTCCCCTTTCACGAGGTTCACATCATTCATTTCAATTAAAGGAGCAGATAAGAACACACAAAAGGAATGCATTCACAAATCCTCTTCTTTCATGAAATGAATGGAGCAGCTGTAAGAATCAGGAAGGAGCTTCCCCACCCAGAAAAAATAGCTGGATCAGTGTTAATGCCAAGGAACTGAATAGCATTTTTGATCATGTGTGTTATTTGTTTTGCTTTAATTATGGGGATAGAATTCCTTTTTTCTCTCTTCAACCTGGCAGTCAAATGAATACAAAAAGTATAAAGAAACTAGTTAAACTGCAGGTGCAAACCTTGAGAGGATCCATATCACATTGTTTTGTTAATTTGATACCAGTGTGTGCATGTGTGTGTGTGTATACACACACACACACACACACACACACACACATCTCCTTTTATATAGAAAGTGATATTTGAAGAAATCTCCCTCTTAAGAAGTGTTAGATTGCCAATTAAACATTGTGAAATGTACTTACTGCATTGGATACCACTGTTCATTAGACAGTCTCACAAGGTTTTAAGGTCACTGTCTAATTTACAGATTACAAACTGTGAAGCATCTCCTCTTTTAAATGTTGTGAATTCTGCATGATTGATCTCATCCTACTTCCTCGTCCTCCTTAAACTGGTGCTCTGTATCCTTAAAAACTGCATTTTTTTACTTTGAATACTGAGCAGTCTTATCACTAACATTGGTCCGGTTCCTTAAAATACCTGGCTCCCTTTTGCACACCATCACAGCATGACTGTGGTAGAACAATGTCATGTCATGTGAAATGTTTTCCACTTTGTTTCCATTTTGTTTTCTTGATTAAAAAGCCTGCCTTGTGGCAGCCAAGTGATTGTGCAACACAGACCAGATGTGGGAAGTATAAATCAGAGGCTAGATTGTGGATCCTACCTTTTGGGTTGCATTCAACATCTTTCTAGACAGGCAGATTCATACGGGGTCATGTCCCCTAAGTTCCAGTGATTGTTGGAGCTTGACTGGTGGGCTGTCTCCTCTTAAACAGGGCTTGGGAGCCAATAAGATCTAAGTCTAAGACCTCCTTCTATTGTGCCTGTTCTGTCTTCCTTTCATTTACGTTCCTTATCTGACTTCAGATGTAGACTTGTTTTAACCTGTTTTGTTTGTGTTTTACTTTGTTTTGACTCAGTTTTGATCCATAGTCATTTTATCCCTGGCTTTAAATCCCCAAGCACACAAGACATTATATCAGCTTGTTTCTTTTATAGTAAATTTCATTCTATGTTCTGACATGGTGAAGCGTATCCACTCCTGTTTGCTTAAAGAGGGACTTCTTTTTTAACTCAGTTTTATACTAGATTATCTTCATGTATTGTCTGTATGTATAACTTTATAATTCTAATACAATTATTCCACTGAATATGATAACTTTTTCCATATATACATAATAGATTGTTCCCCCCTTAAACATATTTAGAAAATTAAGAAAGTGTTTATCTTTAAATAGAAAATGATCATAATAGATTTTCACCTAGTCTTCTTTTTTAGTATTTTAAATGCTACTATGCAATTTAAATTCCAGTATCCCACAGTCCAGAGTCAGCTAAAACTGTGGGTGGCAGTCAGCCCATTAATCACATTTTAGGAAATGCAAATAGAAATCTTATTACCATTTGGTAAAGTGAATAATCTATCTTTAAACACCACCAGCAAAGGTGCAAGTAAAGGAAGCTGAATATAATTATTATTATTTCATTCCTTTCTTTCTTTTTCTTTTAAAAGGCCTGGCTCACTCATATCCACCAGCCACTCATTCTGCTTTGCAAGACATCACATAAGTGCTACGCAGCACAAAAATAGCTTATCTACATTATATTTTAAAAGTTATCTGCTTTTTCCAGGAAAAGGCAAGAGCAACATCACTAATTAGATTGGGGATTCAGCTGCCAAGATCGCAAACAGGAGTGCTTCTGAACCGAGTGTGCTCTATCCAGTGGCATGGCTCGGCTGACCCCCCAAATGTGACCTGTTCCCAGTGGAAAGCAATTTAATGCTTCAGCACACAGCAAGTGGGTATATACGAATGCAAAAAAGAATATACAGATAAATTAGCAAAGGTGCATGCAAATAGGACAGCTTCAAGCCTGCTTATCTGGGGTCATGCAAGCTTGCCCCACCTCCATTTAAAATATAAAGCCAAAGGGCAGCCTGCCTCAGGAAGTTCCCATCAAGCAAACAGCCTCCATTGTCCATTAGCAGAGAAGTCTCCCTATTATTTAAGGGAATGTGACAGCAATAAAGGCAAAGTGAAAGCTATCTGCTGGTAGGAAATTCATCAGCGCTTTATGAACCTTTGTGCCTTCTGGATTTTTTTGCTGGCTTTTTCTGTCTTCCACTTCGGCTGCCTGACAGTTCAGATACCCGAGGGTTGTAGTCATGGCAAAGTTCAAGAACGTAACAGCAGGGCTTTACAAAAGGCACATTCGGAGTGGGGGGAACTGTCAAACATTAGCAAATATACCGAGAGGCAAATAATGAAGCCTGTGATTTCAGCAATCTTATCTCCCTAGCACAGGGGCTGCTGTTGTTTGCTGGATAGCATAGTAAAATGTTCGCAGCAGTTTGAATGTGTTTAGATTAGCTACCACCAGAACGCCACACTAAAATATTAAGGCAGGGACCTATGCCACCCAAATGGATGGGAGGTTTCTGCAGTACATAGGAGATAATCCACATTATTCTCTATCTTAAAAAGAGGAGAGAAAAGATTGGGCTAGATATCATCTCTATGCAATGTACGGGCATAACAGGAAGAAGAACTGCTGTAATGCCTGGACAGGAGCCGTTCCCAGCCCTACCAAGAGAAGCCAGGAATTAAAGCTGCAACACACATGTTCTAACACTGAGCTACTACTCTTCTCATAGGACTGAATGGGTGATCCTGTGATGTGCTAGAAAGGGACCATGAAAGTTATCTAGTCCAATCCCCTGCAATGCAGGAATCTTTTGCCCAGCATAGGGCTTGAACCCTCAAGCCTGAGATCAAGAGTCTCATGCTCTATCAACTGAGCTGTCATGTGAACACTGAAATAATTTAATGTTCTTTGTTAAGTGGTGTCAGTACATTAAAGAGGAGATGTGCTGGTTATCATTAATGACAAAGAAGTTACATAACTACACCCAATGTAACATACTCAAGAGCTGCTTCATCAAGCTGATTTTCCAATCCATTAAGAACATTGCCACATTAAGCATTAAGCCAACAGAGGGATTTCCCACCCCCAAGCTTAACTGTGGTGCTGTGATCCCCACCTCCCCAGGCCTATGTGATCTTCCTGGAGAATGCATCTGAGGGAGGAAGGTTAAGACACACCTCTTTTCTCTATCATTTATCGCTTGGGATGTATATTTTTTAGGACCAACAACAACAACTCGTGGTTTTCGAGGCTGCACTTTCCAGGAAAACCGCCCACTATCCTAACGGTAGGATAGGCTTCCTTGACAATGATTGTAAAGTTCACAACACAGATCTTTGTTAAACCCAGTGCTTTCCCCCCCTAAAAAATGTTTAGGGGTATTCTCATTTTCCTACTCATATTGAAATGCTGCCCCTCAACTTAGATTCACAAAATATTTAGGGATATGCGTACCCCTGCATCCCCCCAGAAAAAAGCACTGGTTAAACCAAAAACTGATCGAAAACAGATATTTCTGAAGTGCTGAAAAGCTAGCTTTTGATATAATTTCTGAGATTTTTATTTACTATCTCTCTAACACCTTCCTAGAAAGGGAGGTCACTTAGCTGATGACATTTCCCTCCCACAATTCCCTGGCGTGACACTAGCACCAGGGCATTGTGGACGATGCAAAATGGCGGTCATGCTGAAAAGATAGTAGCTGCTGCCACATGCCGTGGTGAGGAGGGACCTTATGAAATATGACAGAAACTGTGCTGCTGCTGATGTTCAGACTGACCTCCAAGAAACCGTTGGAAAATCTATCTACCCACTGGAGAAATTGGGTGAAATGATCCCTTCAATTCCTCTGCTCGCAAATAGTGTGGAGAATTTCAAGAGGTCATTTGATCACTGCTCTTGAATGATAGCATTCTAAAATCTTCACAGAATTACATGGTGAGGGGGGAGCCCTAGTTCCAAGGTTTTCTGAACTCCATTCTGCCTCCTTATTGTGGGGTCTATCATGAAGCAAAGTGGATTGTCTCCATAAACCAATTGATATTGATTCTTGAAACAGTAAATTGAGAAGCAGACGTTTCAGCCTATGATCACAATTTTCTCTCCAGAAATGGCTTCTCTTGGCTTTCTCATGATGGTTATGTATGTCTCCAACTGCTGAACCTTGAGCACAGATGTAATGAATAAGGAATAACAATGCTTCTCAGCGCTAGTTCAGTAACACCAAGGGGGAAATATGTGTGCAACAAATTTTAGTTCCATACTGCAGTCATTGAAAATTGTAGTTATTGAAAATTGAAAACAATCACTTTGACTATTTAGAGTCCACATAGCAAGGTATGGAAATCAGGAAGACAGGTACAATAGGTTCATTTAGACTGTTTTATATTGTTGCCACCTACCCTGGAACATTAAGGTGAAAGGTGGGTAAAACAACAACAACAGTTTTTGTTGACCAGTTTGCCTCAACCTGGTGCCCTTCAGATGTTCTGGATACAATTCCCATCAGCCCCAGTCTAAAAGGAACCAGGTTGGAGAAGGCTGCTATTGACAATTGTTTATCATGTCATCCTTGGTGAAGTTCTGGCTAATTTCAAGCTATTCCCTTTCCTGTGGTTTTCTTGTTCATTGCACAGTGATATTAGACTATCAAACCGTTGACAAAATTGGAATATATGGCAAAATGCATTGTCTCACATCTCTGCATCCTGAAAGGTTGAAGCTCTATGAGCACATTCTCTTGAAAGTAAGTTCTTATTGAAGTATCTGTCTCTCTGTCTGTCTGATTCTCTATGTGGTTGGGGTATCCAGACTTTAGGCTCAGTGTTACTATTCCTCTATGCATGCAAGCATAACAATCCAATATGTGCTCATTGGGAGTGGGACAGAAAACTGCAAGCCCAATTCTGCCACAGTGAGTGCTCTTGAACATCTGCATAGGGCTACCATCATAAGCCAGCATGCCTTCAAAATTGTGCTGGAAATATTTGTAGATTAATATAGTTTGTGTTAATTTCACGCTTCAGGTGGCAGTATATTGGGGTCAAGGAGAAGAGTAAGTGGCAATGGATTTGCAATAATGAGAAGGAAAGACATGGGCCAGAGGAAATAGGTTGCATAGGAGAAAGGAAGCTAGGGATGGCAGAAGGTGAGGAGAATGACTGGGAGAGAAATGTGTTGGGGAAAGAAATAAGTATGCTTTCCTTGCACCCCTCTACCAGTCTACGCACCTGAATACTAATCCTTCCCATTCATATATATGGCTTTATGTTTGACTGACACTTTATGTATGTTGAGAGGAAAAATGTCTTCAGAGAAATATCAGTTTCACTGTGGCTCTCATTCTGAATTAACACCTTTGCTAACCTGGTGCCCTCCATCATTCCCAGCCGGTAATAGCCACAACTAGTGAATGTTTATTCTAGTTAAGCAACTATTAGTTGTGACTATTTCTGGAAGTGTGCCACTGCCAGAAATAGGTATATTAATAGGCATATTAAACTATCATTACTATTGATTATTTGATTTATTAAAAAATTATATACTACCAATCATTAAAAATATGAAAGCAATTTACAACAATATCTATAATTAAAACATGTAAAAATTAAATTATAGATCATTAGCTAACTAAAGTTTTCAGCAGTCGTGGTTTTCTTTTAGGATATTGGAAACCATTAAGAGATTATCTTTGAAATCTGAAGTGATAATATACATTATCCAAATAATGGATAACATATTACACAGAGATTTCAATGGAAAGGACACTTCAGCTGTCATACGTGGGCATTTCTTCTTGTGCCACATCTGTAAATACCTATAGGATCAAATAATTTGACCATATTTCTTTCTTCTTCTTCTAAATGTCACTCAGCAAAGAACAAAGCCTGGATTTTGACAATGCTTATAAGAAAATCAAGCATATTCTATAATGAACAGGCCTAACCAATATCATTTTAAAGTTTATGCTTCCACAGACATCAAACACAGTGCTTTATAATAATAATGGACAAAGATTAATGTCTATTCACAAGCCACTTTTTAAATAATTGCTAGCTACATCCAAATGAATAAGACACGACTAAATCTACAAATAATGGCAAATTAATGAACAATCATTTCCAAGGGGATTGAAAAGGGAGGCTGTAAAACCTTTTCTCTGAACTGTTAAAGATTATTTCTGATGCTGTGAATAACTTGAACAGACACAAGCCAATAATTCACAGTGATAATTTCACCCTTCTAGGAGATATCGTATAAGTTTGTGGGTCAAATTAAATGGCCACATGCTGCTAAGTCCTTCTCGTTTGATAGAGAATAGCTGTTTTTTATTATTATGATAACAATAATACATGACAAATCTTTATTAACAGATTAAGTCTTCACTGCAATGTTATTAATCATAATGATTTAGCTTGGTAGTCATGCAAATGAAATATTACATTCATGCCGCTTCTTTTCAATTATTGTATAAGGAGATTAATTTCAGTTTAGCACTGCTGGGTAAATGGTTTATATATGTGCATAAAAACCAATGAAGGCATTGGTGATTTGAACTGGGAGATGTTGTGGAAGCCTCTTTTATAAATACAAATAGACCTTGAGTCCATGAATAATTATTTTGACTTTATCAACTTGTTTCCTTAAATATCTGTGGGTAGGCAAATATGTTTCTAGGAGTGAAGCAACCCATAATCTTGTTCTACATCACTTTAGCAGAATTCCTGGCAACCCAATGAGCTAAAATACACTAGGGAGAAAAATAGAGTAAAATTATAGACATCACTAAATAAGCTACCATTTCAAAAGAACCAAAAGTTTTCAACAGCATATAGTATCTTTTAGTCATCACCTTCCATGCTTCCCTCTCTTGCTTCTTTGAGTCAGATGTAATCTAGGAAGATTCCTCCCTCCTCCCCTACAAAGACATTCAGCCTGTCTTCTGCATTCTTGATGGAAAGCAATGACCTTTGAGAAAGCCTGTGTCTTTTTGTTGAGTGCCGGTGCTGCTAATGAGGAAGGGAATGCAACAGCCCAAGCAACACTAGACTCTTCCATGCACTACCCACCCAAAAGAAGTAATCCACAACCTTGGAATGGCTGAATGGAAAAGAAAGGCGTGGATTCACTTGCCTTATCTAAGGATGGCACTCTTGCATTTTCGAAGCTTCGCAAACGTAACCCTTGCTGCTGGCAATGCAAAATGTCCCCATTGTTTACATGATATGGATAATAAACAGTCTCCAGATACAACGAGAAAACGCTACGTAAAGGCATCTTAATTCCTTCTAGTACTAAATCCAAGGAAATTCAGGGTAGAACATCAGTGGTAAATAACAAACCATAACTGCAAAAGCACTTACAGTAGATATACTACAGAACTTGCACCATTGTTGTCACTACTACAATCCATGCTGCACTGCAATTTAAGGGATTGTCACTGCCACTGCTTTTGTACACACTTGATGATGATGGTGACGACGGCGACATAGCTGAGCCAAAATTCATGATAATATTTTTTCTGTCTTTTGCTCACAAAGAAATTTGCACCCGTTTGCAGATTTTTAGCTGAATATCCTCCACCATATTTCTGTAAAATGGTGGCCAGGCTGCCAGTACAGTTGTTGCTGCTATTGTGGAGGGGCCTGTGTTGTAAACTTAGGGTAAAAGAAGGAAGCTGTGTGATTGCTGCTGTTTGTCTTCTTAGAAACTGTTAAAGAATTTTCCCCGTTTCTGGAGAAAAGCGATGAAGTGGTATTCCCCACCACCACCCATCTTAACTTGTCTGTCCACAATGAGGAGAATTTCAAGAAGCCACTTGTGACCAGCTCTGTGCAGTCGTGAGAAATTTGGGGCCAATGCCCAAAATATTATGATATCACTGATGT